CACCTAAAGCAACAATACCTATTTTCCCACTGGCTAATCCTCAATCAACACTATAACTAGTCAAACATAATAGTTTCAGGATATCGTCATAAAGCATTGTCACGACTTGACAATCACGTAAAATGATTGATGAAATTAACGAAATCGGTCAACAAATTGACTTATAATTACCATTACATGGTGTTGTTTTCTTGGTATCTTCATCCATCACAGATGATTACAGTATGTTTCTCTATCAGTTGCTCATTCAGTAAATATCTCAAAACCTTGTCAGTCTAATTGATGGTTTAGCGACACAATCATGCATGCAAATAATCAGTATAAGCAGTCGAGCAAATCTCCTGCAAACTGAAAACATCAATGTCGAATTTACCCCAACACTGACTAAGGTTCAAGCCATTATCATAGACATGAGTTGGGAGTGTACTCCCCTCGGTTACAACTTATGTTCTCCCTGATAATCACATGAGCATCACTCACTATTAATCATCTTGTAAAAACTTATTTAGCCAAATACATCTTGCAGCACCACATCACTTCGTAATATGACCCATAGGCTTAACTGATTTTAATAACTTATAACCACTATATCTCAATTAAATCGTATTCCGCCTTATAATAAACTGCATACTTGCAACTAACTTGTATGCCCAATCAGCCGGCAAGTATAAATATAAATAAATAGTCTGCCACAGATCAGAACATTGAGTCTAGAGAATGTCTCTTACGAATACACTCATGTTTAACGATTTGTTCCTAGCTATCTGTCCAAAATTCATATAGTCATCACTCATGTATTTAAATTTTGTTTTGATTGAACATTCATGTGTATTAGTAGTATACTAAATTCTATCACGGTCAAGTAAAAATGAGGTTGAGAAAATATCCTCGTAACTAAATAAACCGTATCAAACTAACTGGAACACTAGTTGGAATTCTTCTCCACGGTATACTTTTGTTCCTTCAGTTAGCCTACTAATACAGATGCATTTGGAATTCAATTCATATGGACAACTTACCGGCATAATCGTTATTTGATTTCATAATTTAAACCAAAACTAATACCAATATTAATATTTCTACAACGTTCATTACTTTAGTACTTCTAAACACAAAATACTTACTACCTATACGTTAAGTTATTAACCAACGGCTATTAACACGCAACGTTTTATTGTTATTGTAATCCCATTTTTTATAGCTCAAATAATCTTCACCCAAATTTTCATTTTAAGCGTGTTAAGCATGGAGGCAGATTTTTTAAAAATTATTACATGTATTTCCCGACCACATGCTGCCGCCTCCTTTTTGATTTACCTTCCAGCTTATCATTACCTCGGGGGATTCTTCCTAGTCTTGGTAAACTTCGGCGCACGACAATCCCATCCAATTCGGTATCGAACCAACATCACGTTGATTCTGGTGGGAGAGTAGTGTAGTGGCATTGGACAATAACCGCACAATCCACAAAGCTGTGAACACGAGACTACTCAGAAAATAGATATTCAATATTTAACGCGGAGAAATACCTAACGATGGAGAAGGCGCGAACAATGAATTGAATGGACTGGGTTTGATCGGATGGCATGGCTCGGCCATGCAGGCGTGGTCTCTGCTGAATGTTACCTTATATCTTCTATTCATATTAAATATATTGTTCCTTCTCTAGCCTAACCTTGTTCTACATCATGTATTGGTAATTGATACGATACAGTGAGTTGGTGTAGTCGATGATGTGACTTCCACGTAAGATCTTATGGATTAGGCAGTTATATCATGACAAATCTACAAAATTTAGGGTTAGGTCTATTATTAGAGCAGTACTAATATCATATTAGACCATAATTCTCCAAGAGTACTGCTTCATCATTAGTGGAAGACGACTCTGGTAAGGCTCAAGTGTTCTCGAACTACTTTAGCAACGTATATACCATAGAAGCGCCCTTCTCGTCAGCGTATACAGATCCCCCCATACATACACTGGATAGCGTGACCATTAAAGAACTCGATGTCTTTGGTCTGCTAAATAAGCTTGACATAGGTAAATCCACGGGGCCCGATGAATTACATCCTAGGCTACTGAAGGAATTATCTAACTTCGTTGCGAACCCTTTAAGTACATGCTTTAACCTATCCGTTACGCAGGGTCGCTTACCGAAAGATTGGAAAAACGCCATAGTAAGTCCTGTCTTCAAAACAGGCACGAAACACAAACCTGAGAACTACCGCCCCGTTAGCCTAACTAGTGTGGTTGTTAAAATCTTAGAAAAGATTATTCGGAAGGAGCTGTTTAAGTATCTCGATAAAAACCGGATCCTCTCGGAGAAGCAGCACGGCTTCAGAATAGGTTATTCTTGTCTCACTAACTTATTAGTGGCTCGTGAAAGCTGGTGCGCTCTTAAGGACCAAAAGCTACCTGTAGACGTCGCCTTCATTGATTTCAGTAAAGCTTTTGACAAAGTTCCGCACAACCGGCTGTTATATAAGTTAAGAAAAGTCGGGATTGGAGGCAATTTATTGATGTGGATAAAAGACTTCTTAGTTGGGCGTCAACAAAGAGTTCGGGTGAACTCAAAGTTATCTAGCTGGGAAACTGTGCTTAGTGGAGTGCCCCAGGGTACAGTTTTGGGGCCAGTGCTATTCCTCTTGTATGTAAATGACCTTCCTTGTCTCCTATCATCATCGGTCTTGCTATATGCTGACGATGTCAAGATATGGAGAACGATACGATGTAAGAGTGATAGCTTAGAACTTCAAAATGACCTGAAGAAGTTATCTGAATGGTCTCAAACATGGCAGTTGCCGATAAATACTTCCAAGTGTGTTGTGATGCATATCGGTCATCAAGGCACAGATACATACACGATGAATAACACTGAGCTACCTGTCGTCCAGACATATAATGACTTAGGAGTTATCGTTAGCCAAGACTTAAAGACTACTGCACACTGCCGTGCAATAGCCGCCAAAGGTTTTAGAACGTTATGGTCAATACGTAGAGCTTTTAGTCATGTCGACGCCAAAACGTTTTTGACTTTGTATACAGTGTTCGTACGTCCTAAACTTGAGTACTGCAGACAAGCGGCTAGCCCCTGCTTAAAAAAGACAGTGAGCTTCTGGAAAAGGTTCAGAGAACGGCGACTAAGCTGGTTCCCGGAATAGCGAAGCTTCCGTATGAATCTCGACTGGCCAAGCTGAACCTTTTCCCGTTGTCATATCGCAGAACTAGAGGCGACTTGATTACAGTCTACAAATTGCTTAGTGATAAATTTGCACCTAATATGCCCTCATTTTTCTTGTCTTCCAAAACAGAGAATTTACGAGGACACTCCAAAAAAGTTCACAAGCCGAGAACAAATTACTTGTCAGCTGACTATCGACTTTCCCATCGAATCATCAACGAGTGGAATTCACTACCTCAGCACGTGGTTGAGGCTCCATCCGTCGACTCTTTCAAAAGAAAGTTGGATCAACTGAGAGACCACCATTGCCAGGACTAACATAGGCCATCGAGCCTCCTGTCCTTCCCAAACTGAAACTGAAACAACGGGTAATGGCTGTAGAACCAACGAGATCTTATTATGAGAGAGACGTATTGACGGAAGTTTTCATCTTTTCTTCGAAATACGGCCGTACCTGCAGTTAAGAACACAGTAAAAACGTTACGTTCACTCAAAGCTTCTGGCCGTTTCGTCTCAACGGCGGCTGCCATTCCGTATTTGGATTGCTGTGGCCTGGTTATGTGCTCGTCGGATTCAATTTTTTATGGTATTGTCATACTTAAGTAGTCCGTTGCTGCAGTGAAATCACAAAATCATTCCAAAGAGCATTAACTAACTTTTCCCTTTTTTATAGTCTACAGTTTGGTCCCATTATTGCTTCGTAACTTGATCTTGGGAACTAATCGTTTTTTTTGAAAACTTTATCGAATTTAGAAAACAGCGTAATATCGGATGGAATACCACGATATCCATAAGGTAACTACTAAAGACAAGATAATATCCAGTAGGTGCGATGATTAAGATTCACGACGGCGATTGGTTCAACTTGTTATCAAACCTATTTTTTGCACGGAAGAATGTATTCAGAAAGCGGGGAGAATAAGCTATCAACGTCAAATATTAATCATATTATTTTCCTTTCCCATATTAGTTGGTATCACAATTAGAAGTATTCAAATTAATTTACTGATTAAGAATTCTCGAAACAGTGCAATTTGAGGCAGGTAGAACTAGAAGAGCACAAACGAACGTATTATATTTGGAATTCCTAATCAGAGTACAATTAAGTGCAAAGGAATCAATAGTTCTCACAAATACCATAGTGGTATATTCTTGCGTCAGTTTCGTCAAAAATAACGGTACTTATGATGGGTAGAACTGTGTTTGTTTGTATACTATAAAATCACGATGTCCAAAAATAGTTTAAAGCAGCATCGCCTGTCCTTTCCAAACTGATTAGTTTGGAAAATAAAGGCGAACATAGGAGATCTTTGAGGTTATGTCAGTGGATGGAAAATAGGAGGTTCTGTGTGTATTTAGGCGAAAAGTAGACAACTAAGCGTATAAGTAGGCAGTTTCGCGAAACATTAGACGGAAAGTATGCAATTCGGCGGATATTTAGGTGAAAATTCGATAATTCAGAGGATATTTAGGCGATAAGTCGGTAATTTATCGACAAAACGGCTAAAAAAAGGGGAAATCCGCATTATTTCCCCAGGACAGGCGAAAAAGGCGACATTCTGATGCGATTTCCCCTTTATTTCCCCGTTGTTCGCCTTTATTTCCCCTTTGTTCGCCTTTATTTCCCCTTTTTTGGTTGTCTGGGGAAACTGAAACTTGTTCACGTCTGATAAATGAAGACATTCAAAATGCTCGACAAGTTGCAAAAATTGTACAAGAACCCATAGCTTAACTCATTCTTCATTCGAAGAACTAATATTTTAGCAATTTCACTAAACAATATTTATGAGTTTAATATTTGAAGTTCTCAAGGTCAGTCCCTGCATTTGCGGTTACTATTTTTAAATCTCTTCGAAACCTTATCAAATCCCATTTTCGTTCGTCAATGTGTCAATTTAACGCTTGTGTCGTAGCTAATTGTTATCAGTTTCTTTAGTAACTAAACGTAAGTTCATCATTAAAAGGTTACTAAATCTACATGAACTTGCTCAAAGAACGTTCATTGAGGAAGTCTGTTGTACCACGGACTATTTAAGTTATGCATACTTGAGCTTGTGGTCGTTTCAAATCCGATAATGGTTATCAGAAACTAGACTCCTGATGTGAGTGAATAAATCCATAGACTCCAAGATAATACCCTTTCAAACGACTTCTCTGAAAGAAAAGACAATTCAGTACCATGTTGTCGTCTTTCAATCTCCCTATTTTTGCGAAAATTTTGTCCGGTTTGGGTAAATTCTGAGGAAATCGCAATAAAAACTTTTGGAGAATTGGCATAAAACCCCAAAATTTACAGGACTGGAGAAAATCCGCAGTTCTGGGGAAATTAAGGGTTTTCCCCAATATTTCCACAGAATCTTATGACACTTTTGGGATTTTCCTCAAAATTTTCGAAGGTTGGAAAAAAAACCCATATTTCCCACGACTTTGTGGAAAGTCCCAGAGTTTTCCGAAATAGGGAGATTGGGCTATAATGCAGCTAACTATTACTAAGTTACCAAAAACCCATGAATACTCCGCAATTCGATTGTTATGAGTCGGTGAATGCCTTGGCTTCCCTTTTTTTGTAATTTTCCCTCGAAACAGTTTTTTTGCTATGATTTCCTTAGGACTGTTCTAACATCTGTTCCTTTGTTTGTCCAGAACTTATAAATGATTGGTTTAATTAAAATAACATACCAACATAAAATTCATTGTTCTGAAAAAAATCCTTTAATTTCATGGGGAATTTTCAAGTGTTTATCAGAAGACGACAAGTTGGATCTTTTTATTATTTTGTAAGACACCTGTTATGTTTGGTGTGTACTAATGTTACATGTATGCAATCGTTTGCTCAAGTAATGCCTAATTTAAACATGTAGTTTTGTATAGGAGGTTGAATCGGCAAGTGGCTTCGTTTTCAGTCAGGCAAGACCGTTAGTCTTGATGAGTTGTTCACCAACATAATTCCACAATGTAGGTGCCCAATTAAAACCATTACTAGTGTTCAGTTTAACAGTCCATTCTTTTCCATATAGTTGAAAAATGATTACCAGATTTAAATTACATATAACTAATAATTTTCCCTTTCATATTTTCCAAATAGTGCTCACCTGAGACAAAATCATTGAAATTACAAAATAGTCATAGAAATCCTTCACATTTTCATTTCATGCCTCACTTTTGTCACTATAAACATGATAATATCTAGGATTTTCTCAGTTTCATCTTCGTTGTTCTTGCATGTTCTCCTTTTACCCTTTAATGTAATATGTCTTCATTTTCTTTTTTTACACAGATTAGTCTAATGACATTTCACAGACTTGATCAAGTATTGATGGTCTAGTGCGTTTTGCAACTTTCCATGCCTCGTTTGTCCTTGCTCACAATCTTTCCAAGTGTCTTTCATTCACATTTATCAACATTGTCAGTTATTTCTGGTTTACTATTTGATGAAAACTTGCTTTGTCTCAAGATATAGGACTTCATTCTCGACTGCATCGTTCGGCCGAATGAACTTTTCGGATTTTGATGGGCTCAACACTACTGATTTGACCAATGTATCGTATGAACTAAAAGGGTTTTATAGTTTAGGTGACAATCTGGTTTCGATTAGGGGTCGGAATTCATTAGCTACCACAGGATTGCCAAATTATGAACACCATACTGGAGTAATATCTAACCAACCCAACAACACTATTATTTCACACAAGTCAGAAGGGAAAATTTTGTTTGAAGTTGTGACTGCTGCAACGGCGTCCGAGGAAGCTTTTCTCAATCGTTCTTCTGTTTTGTTTGTGGCTGTTTCGTTCATTCTTCTTATGGTGATCAGTTTAGCATGGCTCGTATTTTATTATGTTCAGCGGTTCCGGTACCTACACAGCAAGGAACGAGTTTCCGTAAGTAGTCTTTTCAAACAATTGTTAAGTTCGTGGTGTTAGAAAGCAAAATATGTTTTTTCGACAAATTGTGACAATATTTGTATTGGAAACCTCATATTTTGTCTTTTGTTCTTTCCAATTATTAGCAAATGACTGTCTTGATCTCTATGAATCGCTATCATCAGATCTAGCATATAATTCGAATTTCGGGATATACATTATGCTCCATTTCGTACTGAGTTTCGCTCATTTTTGTGTATTTTCACTGTTGGTTTCGTTCCCAGACGATACTTCAAGGTTTTATATTCAAACACCGACTGACTACAATTTTGAAGGTTACTGTCCTTGCGTAGCAGAACTTTCTCCTGTGTACTTTTAGTTCGTGAGTTTACAAAATTTGCACTAATCCTTGGACTAAACGAAAGCAGTATCGATGACAAAATTATATAAAGATTAATAATGTAGACGACCTTGGTAAATGTCATTTGCCATAACAAATTTAAATAGTAGCTAGCATAGTAGTATATCTTTAAGGTCGAGATATACGTCTACAGGAATTATCCATGTTCCAAGCACCAATCAGAAACTTGCTTGATTTTCATGTGTTTGTTGGTTCCAGGCTGTAGTATAGTACCTAACGTATATGTTAACTAATATATTAAATACTACTATTGGTCAGACGTATTCTCTAGGCTCTTACGAGGGAATTTTCACCCTCTTTATAAAATTGAACGATCAATAATAAATCTATTTCCTCAATGTTCGTCAACATCTCAGTGTATCTAGCTGTTCATACTGGATTATCATACTTAAAGACTTTATCCACTTAACTCAAGCAGACCATCCGATGTCTCCCATTTCAAGATCCTTTTACTGTTTCAACTTTGAGGACCGGAGGCCCGATACTGGTTTCTTATTTAGGTTGTTGATAATCGGACAGTTAGTGAGTAGCTAAACTCTGTTTAAAATAGTTCTCAGTGTCCCACCCATCGTCCAAGAGTTATTGCCTGACGGCAGATGACTATTATGTATTTTTAGCGTTACTCTGTTTACCTACTCGGACGTTGAAACCATTCACTACAATTATGTTTAAAAACTTGGGTTTTAGAAAGAAGCAGGGCAGTTTTCGGAAGATATCTTATACATAAATTGGTCAATTCAAATGAATTATCACATGTGTTTTGCCGGGGTTTTCAAAAACCCCTCAACGTCCTACAGTTCTCACTAGTGAAGCGTTACCGATTTGACACAATGTTCAAACATAGAAGGCGATATACGTAGATCGGAGCACATTTTTAGAGATCAGAAATAACATTCCATAGTTCAGAGTAGTTAGCGCTGGTCAAGAATGAAGATAAATATTGAAAAGAATAGCTCATAGCAGGGATAGAAGCTAGTGTAGACAATCATTACGATAACTGTTGGCAAACTTGGGTTTTGTTGCTAGTTCTCAGTCTCACACACCATGAAAGGATTTTTTATCGAGAAACCTGAAAGAGAAATGGAGTAATCATTGATAGTTTCATCAACCTTTAGGGACGACTTTAGATAGCTAGGAATAACTGACTGAACCTGGTGGTGCATAGTTCCTGTCAGCGGTTCTTTTATTGATATTAACTCAGTACTACCTTACCGTTGACATCGAAAGTCCATGAGTGATGGAAGGTGTGGTATTTTTGTAGTTAATCATTGGATTCTTCTGTTTGTGAAAAATATAGCATCACTGGATATGCAAATTACTCATCTAAAGAACCCTACTTCCTCTCTGCACCGATACACTTGGCAGGACGATTTCTTTTTCAGACTTAACATTTCCGCCCAATGAATCTTCCTGGCATATCAGTACTCCAACGAACACACTTTACAGCCAATACAACTCGGTTCATCATGGTGAATGGAACCGAACACTGATGGAAGCCAGAAGCTACAGCCGCGTAGATATTAATTAATGATAAAAGAATATGTTCGTAGTTAGTAATAAGTTTGTTTGTCTTTATTTACTGAAAGAACATCCAGTTTCCTGTTAGTTCAAGCTGTAAAGGTAATGCAAAGCTTCCTTTCTAGTTATAGTCGCACTCCTTGATCGAAATGACATCAACTGATAAACCTTTGGCAATCAGGGAGTGCTAGACATGCTTCTTCCTTATTAGCGACTTCCTAAAGAGCCTCACCCACAATCCCCCTGAGATCAAATCCTGCACCTTGTGGAGAGCACCTAAAATGTGTAGCCATGCTTTCTAGTTTCCAGTCAATGTGAGTTTGCGATAAATATTTTCTTTAAACACAACTAATCTCGAATTCCGTTTCACAATTGGTATTGTATTGTTTGATTATATTTAACTATTCATGCTTTTTAAATGTTTGTTTTCTAATGTTTCAGAGAAGACTTACGGAATTGGCGAAAAAAGCTGTTGCACGTATACCTATCAAAACCTTGCATTCTGGAGATTGGGTAATTTTATTCCACAATTTTTACTTGTATCCTTATAATCAGCGTTTTAAATATGTTTAAAGTTGTCGCTTCGATTTCGTACACCAACGAATTTTAGATTGCTAAATATTGGCTTGAACTCCGTAAGTAATACATACATCTTCACAGACGCATGTAAATGACTCAATAACAAAGTATATTTCGTGTCATCGACCCTGAATAACACTTTCTTTTATGAGAACTTGTTGTAGTTCTCGTTTGTTTTAACTGAAGTAGGTCGAGTGAGTTAAAACTTGCGGCTCAGTGACTGAAAATCGAGTAGTACAATGCACTAACCACTGAATCAACAATTTATTATATCCAGAAGTTAATTTCATTTTTTATTCAGCCGACATAACAGTTTTAGATGACGCTTTATATTTCTTTACTCATGTATTCATACTGATAAAGTTGGTGGTCAAAATATAATTTATTCCCTAAAAGACCTACTACGGGGGGTACGAAGTGTGCAGATATATTAGATTCTGATATTCCTGTTGGCCGTAAAATTGCCAGTTAATTATTGGATGCAGAAATTAGCCCTTAGTTTTCTTCAGACTATTCCATATTATGCCTTCACTTGTTCGCCTTAACCTACGTATTCGACACTTGAATTGGTCATTTCTAGGCACATTAATTCTTATACTTCCCCAAATGTAAATCAAGTTGTCAGTGACTACACTACACTATTACAATAGTGTTCTCGTTTAACTTTTCACACTTTTGGAAAAGGTAAACAACCGGTAAAGAAGGTGTAGTGAAGATCGGGGATGCAGATTAGTGTTACCTTTAAAGTCTCAATACTACTGAGTCCCAAGAAACTTGCTTGCTGAGTAAGTGCCAGTGTAGTGATTGAGCGAATAGCTTGTCAAAGAACAGGTGAAGTTGAGGTTTGAAAAGGTTTTCACAAATGATCTTTCATGTATACCCAGTTTTACTTCCGGTCTATTACTTTTTGTCAAGAATAGTTCAGGAAAATAATGGTAATCAGCTTGAGAAATCTTATATTTACTTTTCTCTGTATCTCGTTAACCTACACGGAGCTTTTGTTGCGTTTTTGGATATTATTAGTATGGTAATATGTTTTATTGAATAATCAGAAGGTATTGATTTGTGATCAATTTATTTGTAGGAATTCCCTTTATTATTATTATTATTATTATTATTATTATTATTATTATTAGTAGTAGTAGTAGTAGTAGTAGTAGTGTATGCTACTTTTGTCGACATAAGTAGCATATAACACCAATCAGAAGCGGGGACGCCTGGCAGCAAAAGGTTGGAAAGATTGAGTCGAGGAGAATGGGAACAGAGAGTAATAGTTTTGTCACTGTTGATTAAATGGGTACTTTGAAGTCTACTTGTTAAATTCCCTCATTATAACTTTTTTTACCTAACATTCACACAGCTAGTGTCTTCTGGTAAATCATAACCAAAATCTTTAATTATGTTAATAAATGTTTGGTAATCACAAACGTCTAACCCAATAAGTGAGATACTTTATTGGTCCTGATAATAGTTTATTTGTACATACATTTCTATTATTGTGTTTACTATTGTTTTGAAAAAGCTTTCTCACCAACAAATATCCAATTTTCATATTTTGCCGCAGGAAATAACTTCGAACTATGAACAGTGCGCAATATGTATTGAACCTTTTAAAGCAATGGATAATATTCGCATTCTTCCTTGCCGGTTAGTTGTCCTTTTCAATTAAAACTGAATCTGAGTTTTCGAATAATGTCATTAATAATACGGTTAACGAATACTGAATTTGAACAACTGAAAAGTTACAAAAAATGATGGTGAAGATTGTAAGATATCTCGTTTAAAATCGGGTTCTTATCGGTTTAAATTAGAATAAGTTAATCTATGATAACTCGATTGGTGTCTAGATCTCTAGTTTTGTAGAGTAAGATTTATTTGGTTGGAAACCATATTCACCGCTAATAATTAGTTATGTTTCGTTCACTGTTCAATTAATTGTGTAGAGAAAACAATAGAACTGAGTAAATCCAATTGTTTAAACCCAGTTGCACTCTGTTAAGGAGTTCGAAACTAGAACGAAACAATTGTTCAATATTCCTCAATTTTTAATCTTCCTCTATTTGACGTCATTTTGTAACTGGAATTATTTTCAAGTTGTTTTTTTGTTGTTGAAATAATATTTTACTTACATCATTTGACAGTGTTAAACTTAGTATGCAGAATGTCTTAATGTGGTATCACGCTCTCGATTAGTTACACTCAGGGTTAAGTATGTCTCCATGTCACGAAGTTGTTGCTTTCAATTATTGGGAGCTTCAGAAAACGGTATTATTTGTTAAAGAAAGGTAATTAGTCATTAGATTACTGTCTGAAGACATTCAGGTACAATCCTGACTAGCGAAATCGGTTCTGAATAAGTGTCTCATCATCAAAACAAGGTAATAAATTTGTTAAGTATATGATACTGAAAATCGGCTATACTATCAGTGTTACCAACGACAGAGCCAATGGTGTTTGGTGTGATGTTAGTAGTACTCCTTTTGTTCACGAATAACTTCATCACAATTGTTCTTTTGGGATGCATCCTAGTTCGTTGGAGTGTATCCTCCAATCCCTACCCGTTGCTTTTTTTAATGGCTATCAAGACAATGTAGGAAGTGAAAAAAAAGATTTATCAAAGAGAAAAATACAGGCTTAATTCAATCTATAAATGGTCAGCAATATCCACACAACTCTGAAACTAACCCGATAAGCAAACGGAAACAAAAGCTTATCCTTTGTAAACAAACTATTAAGGCAAAAGTAAAGGAGTTTTGGGAATTCTTTATATTTACAGTTAATGTTTGACCCTAAGCAACAAAATAAAACGGTGTATTAATTGTTGGGAAAATCAATAATAGAGGAGAACTAGAATACGCAAGTAATATACAACTTACTACTTCATGAGGAAAACGCAGGAATCATATAAATAATATAAGAATTTTAGTTGCCCCAAAATGCCCTGGTACGGCCGAGAGTGGAGACAGTTCGCTCTCCCTCTATAAATGCTCTCACATGGCCATGTACATACAACCACTGCAAGGGAAGTCCTACTCACTACCTTCTCGTGGCGGCGGTGTTGTTTACGAAATTGAGAGGACGAAAAGCGAACGTCCGGCGCTTTAACCGGGTTGGTGGACATGGGGAGTTCACCTAGGGGAGTTGAAAAACCCTGACTCCAAACCAATGGTGCACATGGGCTCCAGGATCCTGAGGGAACAAATAGCGTATGAACCAATCGTTGGTCACCGGCTACCATGGGACTGCATCTCCTTACGTATCTCCACCGCCTTGTGGACCAGACCTTTAGGTCGAAGGCTCCGGGTGTGGCCCCCTACGAAAACCACCTGCTTTGGTTTAGGCACCCGGGCAGTATCACAGCCCTCACACATATCAAATAAGATCTGTGTGGCGCATATGTATTTAGTGCCTCCTTGTACCAATATCTATGTGTTAAAATAAATGAATAATGAATTTTAGTATTTTACCTACATTCGTTTAATTTAATCGTACTTGATTACTGTTTTACTCAACTTACAAAAACTTGGACAAAATGCTACTGTTTTTTCAACAAAAATCCTAGCTAAAGGGAAAGTTCATTAGTTTACCAAAATCTTTTAAAATCTTTAATAAAATGGTTAAAGCTACAATATTAGATTTCTTTTACCTGTGTTAGCAAGATCAAAATGACTGAATATGTTGACACATGAGATATTAAATTCACTTAGGATTCTTACCATTTAGCACTAAGCTTAATATGAAATTTCACTTTCTGTCATTAGACTAAATGATTTTAGCTGGATCATTAAATGGTATTTAATTCCAATGAATATTGTTATCACTATGTGACCTTTCAAAGTTTGGGGAGGATACTATTTCGACTTAATCTTTTACTTTTGTTTTTGTGAAATTTCATCGCTTAAATCCTTTTTCATGATGGTTACTTTTTTTAGACATTACTTTCACAAACTTTGTATTGATCCTTGGCTTCTGGAACAACGTAGTTGTCCTATGTGCAAACTGGATATTTTACAAGCATATGGTTTTCGCGCGGAGTTGTTTTGCAGTTATACAAACTTGGAAAGCTTATCTAATCAAGTACTCTCTACCTCTGGTCCAACTTTATCCATATCTTCAGTTTGTTCAACTTTCTCTAATCTGGTAACGGGCAATCTTTCCAGCCCACGAACGAGTAATGATGTTTCTGTGATAGAAAGCCTTTCGTTGATTACTAGTCAACCACAAATTATGAGTAACCTACTGACAGTCGCACATGGATCTCCATTGACTTATGTCGTACTAACTGGTACTAATGGTTTCGCTAATGCTACCGATTCGATAATAATTCATGCTCAGTCGTTCCCTAAGACGAATGAACAGTCGAGTCTTGAAAATCCAGTTTCAGCTCCACTCATTCAAAATGATGACATAACTCTACCAAATCGTAGTATGACAAACAGTATTACCATCCCATTGTTATCAAATTTATCTCTCCCTCCAAAGCAGTTGGCTACTTCGTCTGTATGGAGCACAAATCTCTTACCAGTATGTGTTGTTACATCTGTTAGTATATCTGAATCATGTCAACCGAGAGCGCTTATGGTCTGCGAATCATTCCTTGGCAATATATTTCATCAAACATGTTCTGTTGTAACCGCAACAGTAGGCTCATTAACTAATCATTCAATATCCATGTCTAATAATAATAAAGAGGCAACAACTTCGACCACTCAATCGTTAACGGGTCCATTATGCTCAACCACCCATGATTCAGAGGTAAGTGTTCAATGTTTTTATTGTATTGACTGCATTTTATTTCAATAAATGCATTTATTTCAACATGAATTTCAAAGACAACACCGTACTTTTAACTATACTGGAGTATTGTGATAGTAACATGTTTCGCTTGGACAACCAAAATCTCTTTTGATAACGTAAGGAAGGGATTATAAAATGTTGCTCTACCAGAAGATTCTCTTGTTGACTTAGAATCCTCAGGAGATATAGTTGTTTGGTGAAGACACTGAAAAAGATCCATTTTTCTAATGGCTTAGGTAACAGTGCGAGTATATTTGAGATTCATTTCTTTTTATCTAAATTCGAAATTTTACTTCAGGACTAGTCTGCACCAACATCTGAACTAGTGATAGGGAATGAAGTAGTTAAGTATATTTATCACCACTTATTTTGGATTTATTTATTTATTTAAACACATAAACATAGATACAAGGAGGCACCAAATAGATATGCGCCACACAAGGCACTTGATTTGTGTGTGGGCTGATACTGCCCTGGTGGTTTTCTTAGAGGGCCACACCCGGAGCCTTCGACATAAAGGTCTGGTCCACAAGGCGGTGGAGATACGTAAGGAGATGCAGTCCCATGGTAGCCGGTGACCAACGATTGGTTCATACGCTATTTGTTCCCTCAGGATCCTGGAGCCCATGTGCACCATTGGTTTGGAGTCAGGGTTTTTCAACTCCCCTAGGTGAACTCCCCATGTCCACCAACCCGGTTAAAGCGCCGGACGTTCGCTTTTCGTCCTCTCAATTTCGTAAACAACACCGCCGCCACGAGAAGGTAGTGAGTAGGACTTCCCTTGCAGTGGTTGTATGTACATGGCCATGTGAGAGCATTTATAGAGGGAGAGCGAACTGTCTCCACTCTCGGCCGTACCAGGGCATTTGGGGGCCTTTCACTTATTTTGGAAACCTCTTTACATCCGGTAGGTTGTTGTGTGACGAGATCCCGGAACGGATTCAGAAAGGCCACTTGGCTTTTACTAACTTATATCACTTATGACGTAAGCAAGATGTCCATCTGGCACAAAAGAACGAGTTTACCGCACAATAGTTCACACTGTTTTACTTTATGGGTGTGGAGCATGACCATTAAGAATAGAGGATTTTATAAGTTACTAGTATTCGGTCACAGGTATATTTTAGGACCATCGAATTAACAATCCTAGAGTTAGACGCAGAGTACTAGTGTTAGCGGGACATAGACTAGATTAAAGCATGCTCAATGCATGATTGCTTTGGTGCACGCTGATTGGCTAATTCTTATCCAATCAGCACTAGCCGATAGTTGGAGAATACTCTAGAATCTTCTCATGTAAAAAAACTATAAATATACTGACGTTTTCCCTATTGTGCTTCTGACTTGCTATTTGGAATATAATCTCTTTCCTGCTCAACCGTGTTCTGATTTGGGGACTTGTCGAGTGAATCGGTGTCCGAGAATACTAAGCAATAGGAATAGCTGGGTCATAACCGTAAGAAGAGAGCGATTTATAACAACTAGGTAAGCATGGGAAAGGAATCGACGAGATAGTAAATCGTTATCGACTGAAATGGTTGGGACATGTATTACGTATATCTATCCACGGGCTTCCGAGCGCCCAACGATGGCTAATATAGGAATAGATCGAAGAAAATTTAGGGACAGCCAAACCAAGACATGGGATCAGTCATTGACTGTTCTAGTGGGCCATGTAGGTGGGTTGCGGTCAGCATGTTTATCGTAACCAGTGACAAGCGATTTTGAACGACATGGCTCGAATGGTTCTCATTAGCGCAAGGTATATCCATTCTATCTTCGCTTAGATCCTAAATTCCCAAATTCCTCATACATTTATCTTAATACTTCATTAATTTATGTTTTCTCGCGTTGTATCTTGGATTTCTAATGTTTTTATTGTCATTAATTCTGTTACAAGGTTTACTTCTCTGGAATTTGCCTTGACAGTTTCATCTCGCTGTGCTAAGTGGATTTTGCAAACTGAACCTATGTACACATCTGCCAGGTTTTACATTATGTTTGACTGAGTTACTGCTTGTACTGTGTAAAAATATCATAAACCAGTTTGGTAAATACAAATTAAAATGTTTATGTGTATGTATACTAATATCTCAGAGAACAGCTTTCAGGATTTTATATTTTAACTTATTTGGCTCATCCTAACAATTAATGGGTTTTAAAAGACAAGTATCCTAGTTATTAGATTTCTAAACTCTACATATTTAGTCAAGCTCCTAATATGTTTTTATTTAGAATTATCATCTTTCTAAATGATTTCATTTTTTTAAGCTAAACAGTTAAACTATTTTCTTAAAAGCTATTTGTGCCGTTCTCTATTTCCTCCTATCCTACATTTAGATTTTATCAATACATCAAATGAATTTTATTTACACTAACTGTCCAGGACATTTGACATCGCAGACAAATCTGTCTGTAGAACAACCACAGGCAATTTGTCCCACCAATAATCCAGTTAATTTAAATTCGTCACAATATCCAATGAATCAGCGTAATTTGCGTATAATAAATTTTAAAAATATATTTCATCCTGATAAACCTCTTAATAGTAACATTCCTCCTCGAAATGACCAATCGTCTGTGAATGTATTTCGTAATTGGTTTACTCGCCACTGGTGTAATACATTTTATCCACAGTCTAACAATAATAAACGAATTAATCGTTTTTCGTACAGTTCTCCTTCATATTATACAACTAATTCTACATCTTCAAACAGTCTTATTGTCAATACAGATGAATTTGATCAATGTAAGTCAAATTTAATTAATTCCAAACAACAATCATCCAGTACATCAAGTACTAAAGAATGTTATGTAACTGCTGTTGTTGAAGATGTACCATCAGAGACAGGTAATAGTTCTACACTATCTGAATCTATGAATATACTTAATTCAGATCAGTTTGCAATTATTCATTCTACAAATTCGGCATCTAATAGTTTCAGTCTACATGGTACAACATTAAATTAGCATTTTCTCATTAATTTCAATTAAATAATTTTATTATGTTTAAAATTGTTTTTCAACAAATACATTTAATGTACACATACATTAGTGAATTCGTATTATATTTTGCCATTTGTTGGTTTGATTATTTTGGAATACAACAAAGAAATGAAACTCTCATATTTTTATTTGCTTCATTTACTTTAAATTACTTCTTGTACACAAACTATCAATATAGTTAAATACTACTTAAAACAATTTGCTCCTTATTATTACTATTGATGTTGTTGTTTAACATTTATTAAGCATTCAATACGCACTATCTACTTGTTGATAAATTGTATATTTTCAGTTTACGTTTTCCCATGGGCTTTATATTGGTTATTCTTACGATGACTGATCATACCCAATTATCTTTTATCAATAAACTTGTTAGATTTCATTGAATCAAACCATTACGCCCTTTGTATCATTCCCTAATATACTTAAATTCATAGAAACCCAGCGTTTATGGTGTTGTCTGTTGAGTGTGTGCAATGTTCCGTGTGTGATCTCATTTAAACTATATATATATATATATATATATATAAAAACTTTTCTTTGATTTTTTTGATTTTCCGTATCAAAAATAACTAAATACTGGAAAATTATCTGTTATATTACTGTTGTCGTGAATTTTTTTAATCGTTCACTATTTGTTTCTTTGTATTTTCTGAGACAGAACGATAATTCATCGGCTCGTCTATTTAAAAAAAACCTTCAGGTTAGATAAAAATTCTTCCCAATAAACTTTTCATTATAATTATGTTTATTGTAGAATGATCGGTTCTTCTTTACATCGTTTTCCTAAACAGTTTTTGACTCTTCATTTGTGCTGTCCTAACTTTTGTATCTAGTATTTTTTAGCCGCGTTTAATAAATACATTGTAGATCTGCTATAAACTTATTTGTTACTGATGTTTGGTGAACATGTTTATGAATCATCAGTAAATCATTCTATAGGCATTAGGGGTGAGGTTATGGTTAGAATGTCAGTCGCAAATATCTAACACATGGTAAGTCCTTGAAATTGAGTGTTGTATTTTATAACGAAAGCATACAAAGTGTGGAATCCGACTGAATTGATAAAAATTACTTCATTTTATAAAATCTAATTGACACCTTTGTATATCATTGTAATCAAAAGTATCACTGCCATGCTATATGATTCTTAATTCGAAGCAGAACTCTCCAATATTATTTATTGCATAACGCTAATAAATAGAAAAAAATCGTCTAAAGTTCATTCAGGTGCATCATGATACAACTGTAATCATAGCAAGTACCAATGGCTAACCATAATCATTCAGTCATACTGTTTACGAAAGACGGAGACTGATTGTTGAATAACAAGACAAGTGGGATTACTGTGCCATGTGAGTCTTTTCATTTACAATATGCTACACACCGAATACTAAGGGGTTTATGCTTGGTTTTTTTACCACTTAACGATTAATTATGTTCAGATAATATCTATTAATTTAAAATACAAAATACTTAAACTCCATGTTAGTTTACTTCTCTATGAGCACAAACATACACATACCTGTTGTTACTGATGTAATATTCAGTTGACGAGTACTCCCTTTTTAAAGAAAAGCATTTCATGTTTTAATGTTATTCGTGGTAATTCATATATTATTAAGTAACACCTAGTACTTTTTTCAGTCTGTCAATGCAATATATGTAGGCGAATGAATTTCGGTGATTTCCCCGTACATTTTCTTCCATAAAACGGGGATGTATGCAAAAGGTAATCCGAGTAGTTCAACGTCATTTAATGGCGGCAATATTTTTCCCGTTGCTTGCTATTTTCGTTTGTAAATCATACGTGAAATGATCCCTACATTGGAAATTGAATGATTAAAATATCTTATCACCTGATAATTACCTTCAATTTTTATGTCCTCCTAACCTATGTGTAGTAAACATTTTTTGTGTCACAAGAGTGATCTTCAATTCCCAGCGTTTCCTATCATGATTCTTCATTTTGTGATTCCTAGGCGCGTGATTAAACCTTCTACATTGTTTTTGTATATTTGTTTCGATCAACCCATCTTTTTTGCATTTTGTCCAATTCATTGCAATCAAATCGATTTTTAAAACTGTCTTATCCTTCAATGTATAAACTCAAGAAGACAATGAATTGATTTTTTATTAAACTGAATTATTCACATTATCCAGTTTTAACAACTGAAATCTTATTTTAGTTCACAAGATGATACTGAAATTCACGAACACTGAAGTGTGCATGATAAACCAGGCAACATCAATTAATTCAGTCTTTACTCAGACATTTAGACTAAATATTATGACTTACGTAGGCTGAAGTTTGGAGACTCATCGAATTTTTCGATCTATCTAACTGAACACTAAAATTATACGAATGAAAAGTTCAGAATTCTGATTACATGATTTTGTTTAAATGGTTCGAATGTCCTATTACTACTGTTAATACATATGTTAATTCTACTATTCCATCAACTTGAACATGATTTGACTATCAACATCTATCTATTGCGTTAAACTGAATTATTAGCCAATTGGTTCTCGTCTTAAACTTAGAGAATCTATTGTATTGAGCAGAGATTGATTTCGTCGACTTCTTATGACACTTATTTTTCATGCTGTCATTTGTACATCAAATGTTACATATTCTGTTAGTTTAGTGATTAGTCAAGACATTTTAATAATATTGAGTGTATTTTTAATTTTACAAGTGCATTATATGTGTTTTATATCTTACATATTAATCTGGATTACACACCATGAATGAACCAGGCTTATAGGTTAAAATAGATGGATAAGGTGGATTGTTGTTAAGTTTTGTGTATTCCAAAGCCAGCTCAAGGAGCATAATAATAACACTCTTGATACATCACACACTTTTATTTTACAATTTCTAGGAATTTTTTTCGTTGTCATAGGTGTGTTAACCATGTCTGATGTAGGGTATAAGCTTGTTTGTTTCAATAATATGAGCTAGGAAGCAAAAACAATTGTGTATGAAGTTGCTTAATTACACTTATGATAAGTTACTTGTATTGCTGATAAATAATATGATGTTAAGTCTTGGTTGTATATAATATATCGTGTTCATATCCTACGAGATACCGAAGGTAAAAATTCTCTACTTAAACAAATAGAATATTATAGATCTACCAATGTAGCTTCAAATTATTTCTGTGAATAAAGTGTTTGATGTGTGCTGTAAACAGAATTCACCTTGCTTAGTTTTCACTTGCCAAAGTTCGTTTACACTGCGTATACAGAATGAAATGCTAAATGAGTAGTTTCCGGGCTTTACTGTAGCGATTGGTTAATCTGCTCGTTCTATTGAAATAATAAACACCTGGACATATTGCATAGTTTTTATGAAACACATGGTGCCAGGAATAAATGGTATCATTATTTAAATGTAACTTAATGTAATCTGTTTTTTGCATTTTGTTCCATGTTCATTATCATAACTGGGCGGGGTGGATAAATGACAAACATAACTTCTGAGGACAGTCGAACTTTCTGTGAATTGTTGCACATTTTATATGTAGGGAGATATCTAGTATGAATGTGTGATAACGTTTGGAGTGTTCGACGATAAAAGCACAGTACGCTGATGGCTTTGAGTTAATCAATCAGAAACAAGATAACGCCTCATGTATTTAGCGCGAACTTTTATGTGCAGTTGCATAGTTTGTATACCATGATTAATTAAGCATGAATTGCCAATAACTGGTTCTTAAATTGCTTGAAATCAATAAAAGTATCTATTATACAACCAAAAATCTAATCTAAGATGGTGCCTAAGCTAAATTTTGAAATATATGTGCTCCTAAAGTAGATGGTGTGCTACAGTACTGGATGTGATTCAACGAATAATCAATAGTGTTTGTTGAAGCAACATAGTTTTCTACCTTTTTAACCCTTACTCTAAATCTCAACCGTAGGTCTCGTAAGTTTGTAAACCGAACCCAATCTCCCTATTTTGAGGAAAAAATTTTCTGTTTTAGGGAAATGGCACAATACACAAAAATTTTGGAGATTTCCCCAGAATTTTATACAACTTTCGGAAGTTTGTCTATACTTGTGGTGTGTGCTACTTATATTGACATAAGTAGTAGATGATGTTAGTCGTGAACAGAATGCTTAGCAGCAGAGAGACAAGAGGATCGAACAGTAAAGAATCGAGACTGAGTGCAATTTATATGAAAATGCAAGAACAATGAAGTCTGAGTCATTTTGAGACAACTGATGGATATTTTACAAATTAAGTACTTTATGATTGTTAGATTTTATTAGCAAGTCCTGTAATTTTGTGTTAAATACGTTCGATTGTCCCCACTCTTGTTCTGCTCACTACATACTGATTGTTTAAAACCCAAAATTTTGGGTTTTCCCCTAATATTTTCACAGAATTAGGGGGAACTATCATTGAAATTTGAGGATTTCCCAAGAATCGAGAGATCGGGAAATGGTGGTAAAGCATTGCATCATAGCCAATATCATTTCATGATGAAAACCATAACCGTAATGCAAAAAACTATCTCAAAACTCCAGCTTCACTGTTGATACATAGCGCTGATAATTTCGTTTTACAACTGACGTTATATGGTGATGAAAACTATGGAGTGATAGCCTGACTTCTAAAGTGTAAACTTGAAATTTGCCGATACTACAAGAAACAACTTGACATTTTAGGGTTAACTGTTTTGAGCAACTATATTATTTCACTGTTATTTCATTGGTGTTTATTGTTTAAAAATTTTATAACTAAGTAGCGTCCATTGGTTGGCTGATTAGGCGTTCAAGGTTGTTGATATGGTTTATTTTCACCAGTTTGACGGATGATGTAAAACTTCGTATGACAAAACAACAAAACCACCGATCTTAGCAAGTATAGCGGGCTACTTTACTCTTTACTTCAGTCTTCGGTAATAATTATATGAGGTCTGTCGACATATATTCATCCTGGCATTTTGTAACACTGTAAAGGTTCAATCTCGTTTTGAATATATATCAACAGAAGGTGCTGATATTACGTGTTCTGAAAGCGAATTACAGTAATGCACTACTCGGTACGAGAAACGAAATTCTAGACGTAGACGATTTGATCTCGACTTCCGAACTTTATAAAAACGTTCTCAAACGACCAGTCCTAGACGGAAGGAAAATATATGACAATAATACCAAGGTCATCGTTCAGTATACGATAAGCCAATATCAGATCACCCCGTATTCTACGGTAAGATAACGGAAATAAGTTCCAAATGTGGTCTCACGGAAGTCGGGTATAATAATCTGAACAGTTCGTCATGTAGCGGTAAATAAATCCCCAAAATAAATAGCTCTAAGTATTCGACATTGGATGCTGACCACATGTTTTAGTGGACTCATCTAACTGAAGGCGCTCGGTCATACATCCACACCAGATCACGTGTGGTAACGCTGTGCTCAACATCTACCGCAATCGCTAGCCAGATTAGATCAGAGAATTCCGATATATTGGTAATCGCCAAATACACTCTTCCGATCTCCTCGACTCTGTCTTTTGATTTCTCTGGGTGGGAACGAATTATATTAGAAGGTGTTACTGCTGCAGTTGGCAACTCATCTACGAAAAGTAAAAAAAGAAGAGGACCGAGGATTGAACCTTGGGTAACTCCACTTTTCCGAAGTCTTCACGAGGAGAGAGCTCTATTAATCCTTACCCTTTGAATCCTGCCATGGAGAAAGTCACTTATCCAGTCTATGATCTTATAATGGATTCAAAACTTTCCAATTTGAATTTAAGACCCGAATGCGGGACCTTATCAAAGGCTTTACTTAGATCTTTGAAATCACACCTACAGGAATATTCTGACCTTTTGCTGAAGCCCGATCTTCTCTTGAAATGAGAATATTT